CATATTTGCGCTCTGCTTTGTAAAAATATGTATTTGGAAGTATCAGGTAAACTGACACACACACACACACACGAGTCTTCCAGAGCATACCACCTCTTTCAATGCCTTTAACATATCAGTTCAGATTTCGTCTTCTACATCAGCCTTCCATTCACTGGGGCATAGTAATTACAAAAGAATTACGCTATTTTGGGGTGGGAAAGCTTTCTGTTCTTCAGCATAATGTGTGCTGGAAAAAGACGAATATTTTAGTACAAGTTTATACTAGTCGGGCGTGGTAATTGGGTGAATTTAATTATATTATTTTAATTCGCAGTGGTATCTTTCATAGTGGTGATTTTAAGAGCTCTCTCGTCGAAGGCTGTTCAATGGTATGCAAATTACTTATAATCTGGCCGTCTCTCTGCTGAGGGCAGGAATGTACGAAGTAGCACTACAACACCTCGGTCGAGTGGCCAGGATGGTCCGAACGACCCCTTGGTGTGGCTACACATCGCTGAATGCTGCATTTGTGCAAATACCGTAGTAAGAAACGCGTAGTCGACCACCTACGTAATCATTTGTTGACATTCGCCTCTTCGTTTCGGCCCAATGAATGGTTCTGCAAGACTTGGGTATGTTGCAAAAAATTGGTAAATGATAGTGGTCATTGTCGAAAACTTCAAATAAACACCATGAACCCGGCGCCTGTGAAAGAGAAGCAACCTCAGAGGTAGTATGTTGAATACAGCACATGATTTTTAATGTGGAAGATGATGCTATCTTTCATGATCTGACTAGAGGGCAACAACATCTAACCTTTGTGTTGTTTTTATACGCTTACTCTCACAGACATAACTGTTCATGTTTATAGGTCCTTTGCTCTGCGATATCCAGTTTTCAGGATGTATTGCACTGGCTCCTTGTCTCTTGTTCTCTTCTAGGGCATTTAGGCAGGCTATGACTTCATCATATTTCTGTAATAATGCCCTGTCATTAAATCCGGTTCTTAGCCATCGCTGGCACACTGGTGTATAAACCTATATTTTATGTTTCATGCATATTATATAACTTATCTGCATTACTTTGCAGTTGTTGTTAAACAGGGGATTTGTTTTATATTCATGAAGCGGTCTTCGTTCATGACCGAGTTTGTGGGGAGGAAAAGACTCAGTCCTTCTGTTGTCAGAGCCGGTCGTTACTTTGAAGCTGCAAAAGTTGAAGTTTTTAAACCTTTCTATGTTGTCCAGGTTTTCACGAAGAGAGCAACGATCTGCAGTAGATTGTTAGCGTCGTTATACCGGTCCATCGTTATACAACGTCCTCATCCTCAGCAAGAGGATCGCTTTTAGAATTGCCCTTCAGGACTCTTAGACTGCTCTTTTTTTTCACCCTTGAGACGGCGGTTAGTCTCTCAGCAAACAATATTCACCTTCTGGAAATTCGACTTCAACACCTCACTGAACTTCTGCCAGGAATCAGCTTTCGCTATTGCCTTCGCTGCCGCCTTGCTCACTTCCTTGTACTGCATGAGTTGAAAGCTCTTTGCTTCCAAGTCATTTCATGAATACATCTTTCTTCTCCCTGACAGCGAATTAAACCGCTGTGTCCTTCAGCGGGTTTGCTTCTGTCTTCTAGGAGCCGCTTTTAGAGAGCTCTCAGTCGGTTTCCACATCAGCGGTCATCACTGGAATTTATTTGAACCACTGTGCGATGTTACTTGCATTTCCACCATGTTCAAAATAAATGTTTGATTTTAATGGTTAGGAAAAACATAATATCCTGTATCGTGCATCAAAGTTGCAAGCTTAATGGAAAACGTTTAGCGTCCTCAGTTGGAAGATGTTGCCAGACTGTGATCCCAGTGGTCTC